AGTGAACCCCGGGAGAAGTCACAAGTGAACCCCCCTTCCGCTCTGACACCAGTTTGTGTTCCGGTTCTAATGATACAACGATTTATTGTGAGGCATGTAAGGCTGATTTGCGCGCCGGGCAGGTGTAACCTGAATCTTGTCGTTGTTTCTTTGGGCAGGCATGGGCAAATCCGATAATCCTCAGACCATGCATCCTTTAGTATGAGAGCTTAGGCAGTAAGAAAAAGGCTGGGTGTCATGCGTTCGGATATCTGGCATGCGAGGACGGCATTCTGATATTGAGCCGGCTTATGCCACTGTACGCGCTGCTGATCCTACTGTCTGAGTGGCGCCTGTGCTCTTGAAGCCTCGCGTCCAGGTTAATGGAAATGCGGAGAGACCTGCTTGAACAGAGACTTTCCAAAGGAGAGGGGCAAATGTCAGGTCAGTGTTTCGTGCGCAGAACGTATTTGTTCGTTGAAGATCTATGTGTCTGCATCAATGACTATGAACCTGTGCTGTACTTGGTTGATGGGCTATAACTTGGTGCTGGGGATTGAACTCTCAGACGAGAGCTCAAAAAGGTATCGTGACCGGCCACCAGGCGATTTTCCTCCCATGATTGGAGCGCCTGTGGCCCTGCAGGCTATTTAGCTGACCTCGTAGAGGTTCTCGCAGCACAGGAATTTGGAAGCGCATGCGAAGAAAAGAAGGTGTAGCTATGCTCCGCTGCAGATTGCCGCATTGCAAAGCATGCTTTGAGATGCTTTGAGTAGATATTGTTGCTCTCACTCACGCTACTACTATTCCAACCATTACCGTTTCTTTTTCTATTTTGTTTTTATTTATTTTTTATTTTTGTTGGCATTGTTGTCATTGTTATTACCATTGTGGTTTTTATTGTTTTTGCTACTATTGTGATTATCATTTTGTCTTATCTTTTGTATCTTGCTTAGCATGTGCTTCAGCAGGTGCAGCGGAGAAACGCCATCCTGATGGATCTCCTGAACCCGCCCCTCTTGTCAGATGAGTTACTGAGATTATGTAGGGGGTATGTAGCGCATGGGTGGTATGGGCTACATGGGGGGGCATGGGTTGCATGGGGGGTATGGGTTGCATGGTATATCGGGTATATTTCCGGTTCTATGGTTCCACGCTGTACCTTCTGCACCTTCCCCCCCGTGGATTACCCCCCCCCCCCACCCAGCCACAGAAGGGCGGGAGGTTGGTTCTCTTTTCACTCGTTGAAAGCTCCAAGCAACCTCCACTGGTAGAAATCTCCTTAACATCTTTAGAATCTCCAAACCCCTGGAAACCTCTACATGACCATCACGATTCCTTCTTATAAAAAAGGACTAATGCAGGTGTTTCTTCAATTGTTCTATCATTCTTTGCATCAGTCCTCATCATGTTTCAATTATCCTTGGGGCCCAAGACCCAAGCTCAAGCACAGTGGATTGGCCTTTAAAGTATAAGTTGGAGTGGCCTTCAATGTTGTTCTAGACAAGCTAGTTTTGCCAAGTGCCACACAAGAAGCCATGCATGTGGCTGAAACCAGTGCTGGCATGCCCCAGAAGCAGAGGAAACCTTTCGTCTGGAGCCCGCCAGAAGTTCGTCCAGCTCTGAGAGACTGCCAGCGGCCACAGGAAACGACGCAAGCCGCGGCTGTTTGGTAATTACAGAACTGTTCAAGTAGTCAGATCTCGTCACTTTGAACTTGACGTGTGTTGTGCAGAAAGCTTTGGGTGAAACACATCGCGCAGTTGTTCCTCAATCTGTTCGAATAGAAAAGACTCAGCAGTTTCATCCGGAGCAAACGGGGGACTGTAAAGACCCTTCCTGCACTTAAAGGGTTTGGCGCGTCGCTGAGGAACAGGTCTGTGACAGAATCTCAGGCCAGCTCAGCTGTCTCCGCGGCCTCGACCACCAAGAGATGCGAATCTCTGGGAAGAAAGGAAAGTGCATGTTATGTCGTCCCGATGGGAGCACATATCTTACTGACGGCCCAGCTGATCTGTTGCCAGTTGACTCTTGAGCGCTTTGTTGCCGCAGACGCCGCGGCTCTGTCCATCGCAAAAACGATGTGCAACATGTACCCAGGCTTGTGCTGCCTGAGCATTTTCATGGTATGTATTTGGACTTGCGGAGGCAGCGGCAAGGGCTGTGATGAAGGGTGCAGCAATACCAAAAATGCTGATGAACAGATCAACCTAATGAATGAGTATGATGTTGAGGCTTGACACAGCCTGACAGAGCCGGGCAAGCCTTCACATACCTTTTCCAGTGGAAGTACCACGCAGCTCCTTCTTGGCAGTCGAATTGTTGAGCTTTATCAGAAACCTTCATCTGTAGTTGCAAGTTGCTCGCTCGTCCAAGGTTGCACAAGAGTGCGAACAAGTCCTTGGTCCGAGAGGTTTTCAAGCTGTTTGTGTGGATCCTCCAAATGAGCACTTGCCTGGGAGCAAGTGGTACTGGAGGTATCAGCCAGTTCCTCGGCATGATTTCGGCCTCCTTGTGTTCCTAAGCTGCTCCGTGTTTTTGGACCCCTGTCAACCTGCATCCTGCCTGGTCCCATCATCACTGTTGTTATTATTGTTCTTATTGCTACTATTGTTCCTATTCTTATTATTGTTGTTCTTATTACTATTGTAATTAGTATAGCTCCAGCAGATGTACATGGACTTGTGATCTCCAGGTAAGCTATAAACTTCATTCGAGAGGACCTGGCAAACATCGCAGATTTGGCATTATCCTGAAGCTAATAACAGCAAGAATGGTAACAACGGTAATATGAGTATGGACAACGACAAGAGTTATATGGATAATGATAGCAACAATAACAACAATGATAATAATGATAGTAATAGTCATGATGAGAATTCAGGCCTGCTTGGCCCAGGAGGGAACGAGGAAGAATTCAGAGAGATGGTGCATCGCCGCTTGCGCTTTAGTCTAAACTCCTTAAAGGGGTTAGATAGGGTTATTAGGCTTTAGGGTTGTATAGGGTTTAGGGATTAGGGTTGAGGGCTATAGAGAGTATAGGCAAAGGGTGTTTGTGGCCGGCGTCAGCTCAGGGTCCCATGCAAAAAGAGGGTCTAAACTCCTTGAAGGGGGTCATATAGGAGATTAGTTTGGGGAGAATTATGGAGGTTATGTAGGGGGATGGTAGGAATTTAGACTATGGCTCACTTGGCTTTTGGCAGAGCCGGGGGCCCTCTAGCAGTATCTGGGGGTCTCTCCCTTAATAAGGACTACACTATTTTGGAGCCTATATTCGGGCACCCCTATTTTGGGAAAGTACCATCTATTGCCTGTGATGAGGATGCCACAAAGCTGGCGTGGGGGTCTATGTCGACCTTCTGCTGAACCACATGGCGAATCCCGGAACACCGCAAGGGCGCACAGGAACAGGGGGCACCGAGTTCTCCAATCGAAATTTCCCAGGACAGGCATAGCTGGCCTCCCTACAAGCTGCTGACATGCTTCTGACTGACAGGCCTTTACACGCGCGAGGAGTTCCACCACTTGCCTGGCAAGCCAGGCGCGCAGCGCATCATTCGGCAACATGTCCACTTGGCTTTAGAGAGGTGCTAACTGCCAGCTCAACAGCCTTGATCGCAGGGTGTTGCAGGACGGGCAACCTGAAATGAAGCAAGCAGCAGATCTTTTGACTCGACTTCTTGCCAAGGAGTGCGATCTTCTGGGACTTCCTGACCTAAACACGAGCCTCCCATCTGTTCGGCAGAAGCTCACAGACTTTGTGCAGAGGCACTACACACTCTAGAGTGAAAGCGGCAAGACGTGGATTCCACAACGAGCTATAACCCCTATATATCCCCTATAACCCCTCTATAGTCCGTATATAGGGGCTTCATATGCCCCTGTAGTCCTTATGTAACCCCGCCATAAACCCTATATACAACACCTATACAGGGACTTCATAAGGCCCATATAGGGCCCCTATATAGTCCCTATATAGTCCTTATCTAGAGGTTTTATATAGTCTGTACTATAACCCCTACCTAGTCCCTATATAGGGACTATACAGGGGTTATATAGGGTCCCTAGCATAGTCCCCATATAGGTTATCGGACATTGGCGTGGACGGCATTCGCGTGGACGCATCGAGGCACAT